TTTTTTTTTTTTTTTTTGCAGTGTCAACTTAATTTGTTATATGATTTCATTATTTACGTGTCAAAAAGGGACACGTAGATAATGAATTTATATAACACGTTTAACTTTCCAAAATAGAACAGATTACCAAATTTTACTTTGGTGACCATTAAATGAAAGTCACTTTCAAAGTTGTTTCTGCTTGATATGTATAAGAATTGAAATTAAATCAAAAAAAGTTGCTAGCATAGTAAGGAATATTTAATTTGTACTTCACTAATTTAAAAAAAAAAATTTTGTCCATTACTTTTAAAAAATTTATTCAACTAACATTTTTTAAAGTTTTGATCATAAATTAGATCAGAAATGGGTTGAAAAAAACAGTGAAAAGTTTCCCACTTACTTTGCTAAAATTGGTTTCAAGCAAAATATTCTTGATATTCGAATTTTCTTCTGCACAAATTAAATATGAGTAATTAATTATTTGTTTTGTAAAATTGGAATTTCAAATTTCTTGAAGTGTCTTAGTTAGCTTAGCGAAGGTTTTCACTAAATATGCTTAATTTTAGAACAGCCAAAAATAATTGCAACAAAAGTATCAAAATGAATTCATCTAAATTCAAAATCATTTAAACATCAGATATACTGGCTCAGTTAATATCAAATTTATGATTTTCCAAGCTGAATAGACCGAAAATAAAAAGTTATTAACGAGTAATTATTTTCAGTTATCTCATGTACCTTTGCCTTTCCAAGTCGACAGTTATAATTATACTTATTATTTTAACTTTGATTTGCTGTAATATTGCTATTATGTTTTTATTTGTATGTATTTTTGGCAGAAAATTTGGCTCATTTTATGACATTTGTCTTCATGGATATTTGTTGAGTATGGTTAGTTTTTTTATTACTTATTTTCTTTATCTTATCGATATTTTTACTTAAATAATTAATCAGTTCCAATAATTAATCACTCAAAACGAATTAGTTTATGAATTATTAATTTTATGGGTTATAAATGAGAAATTTCATTCTCAATTAATTATTTTTTGATGCAAACTAATGAAAAAGTTAGAAAAAATTAATTTTATAGTTAATTACAAATATTTGGAACTGATTAATTTTGTTCTATCCTTTTTGAATGATCATAATGGCTATTTAAAGAAATCAGAAAATTATCAATGATTATTTTCAAGATTTTATTTCTCAATGAATTAGTTAATTACTAATACTTTGCTTATTGCATAATTGACACTTTAAATGACAAAATTCAGGAATTCATTAGTTTGAAAATTCAAATTCTGATTGAATTATAACCATCATCATCATCATCATCAATAATAATAATAATAATAATAATAATAATAATAATAAATGCATAAAAAGTCTGTAAGTGATTTAAAAAACAGTAAATTCAACAAAGAGGCTAATTTTTATGTTCTTTATTTTACGAGAATGAACAGAGACAAAAGCTAAAACCCTAAACAAGATTATAATTGAAAAAAGTAATATTAAATCGCATCAAAACAACAAGGCAATTTGAATTAATTTTGCATTAAATCCCTAATAAAATGATGAGATTTCGCTACAAAAGGCAAATTTGAAGTTTATTTCTGAATTGTACGAATAAATTTGTGTATTTTTCCGCAGAATAACTTCATTATCTATTCAGAAACACGTTTGTTTTGATAACTTCTAATATGGTATTATTAGAGAATCATAACGAAAACTTTCAGGTTCTGTTGTCATTAACCGGTTTTTTCCAAGCGATATATTTCCCCTTATCGATAGTTCAAACTTTTAGGAATTGGAATTCGTCATTACTTTTATATCGTACTATTTTGATCGTTCTAAGTATTATTACAGTAATTTTTCAATATTGTCAGAGAAGTTTTGTTGAAAGTTTTTTATCGTATATGCAAAGCAATTTTGTTTGATATTTTTGATAATTTGTGCTAACTTATCAAAAGTTTAGAAAGTAATCAAGTGATAACTGGAATGACCTCAAAATTGACCTAAACATTCTAAGAGTCATGCACTCCTAGGATAATATTTCTTAAGCATCGTTTTGTAATTACAATAGCCGTTTTTTTATTGAAATTTTTGCTTTGTAACTTTTTTATCCCTCCAAAAACATTTCTTGAATAATTGCATATTCCATAATACTATTCCGTTCTT